CCTGCCTACCTACCTACCTACCGACCTACCGACCTACCGACCTACCGACCTACCGACCTACCGACCTACCGACCTACCGACCTACCGACCTACCGACCTACCGACCTACCGACCTACCGACCTACCGACCCACCTGCATGCATCTATATATATATATATATATATTAGCTGCTAGGTTCTGCAGTGAGCCCTCAAATCAGAGCACCGTTTTTCAGCGCAAAAAAACAACTAGCAAATGCGTGTCGCGAAATCGTTGAGAAACGACCGTTCATACACTGTTCATACATCCAACTACCCATCCATCCACGCATGCATCCGTGCATCCATCCATCCATCCAACCGTCTATGAACCCTTCTAGAAACATTTCCAACAAGCCCCGCTAGGGACCCTACTGTCAACTTCTCAGTCTCTATGTCACGCTCTATCCCTCTACCAACCTATCTTTCAACATCTAAACACCCTCCCATAAGCCCTTGTATACACCCTTCTACAACCCATGCTACAAACTTCTCTAAATTAGACTCTAAAACCCTATAAACCCTCTCTAGAACCTTCTATCAAGCCCTTGGTCAGACCCTTCCTATTCAAGTGCATATAATTTGAATCAACCGTTCTTGAAATCGCCCAGACACGCCGGCACCACCCAGAGGGTTGTCATTTCGAGTAAATCACCCGGCCGATGTAGTGGAATGCACAATCGATCGCGCTTGCCGGAGTGAACACACCAGTTGTCTGAAGACGAATAACCACAGGCGCAGAGCCGTTTTACGATGCATGGCGACTCCCGCTAGCCCTGCTCCGTGAGGATTAGAAAGGTACAGGCAACCTGGCGAAAACCTAAGGGCAAACCTCTCGAAGACAGCAAATCGTGCGATGCAACCTCACGAAAAACAACCGCACGTCAACATCACCACATGCTGCCATCCAAACCACCTCCACAGCAAAGCCCTTCGCCGTGTTGTTTGGAAAAGGGCACATAAGTCTACCGGGGAGACCTAGACTGGACCCAAACGAACCCTAAACCCTAAACCCTAAACCGTTACCTCCTTCGCCAAAGTGCCAGGACCGGTCGGCTGACTCGGCTTTTCGCCTGCTTGGCTTGGAGAGAACCCGAGTTGATGGCCTACCTTTAGTCTCCATTGTAGTTCCTTTTTGGGGATACCTTATAGGACCCTTAATACATAATTGGTTATACCAAAAAAAGGAACTACAATGGAGACTATAGGTAGTTTTGGTTTTCGGGGTGTGCCTCCTGCCTTGCAATCATGGCTTTTGGGCATAGGGTCTGTGGCCTCTTGGTGGGTTTTGAGGACTATAAAATACCCCAACCCCCCAGGTACCTACTATATAGGACCCTAGGGGCTCTAGTACCCTACATAGTAGGCAACTGGGTGTTTAGGGTATTATATGGATTCGAAACCGATTCGGACGCTCCACGGGGTCGAGGCCGACAATGAGGTCGTGAGATTTTTTTGCAGGGCGTGTAGGAGATTGTAGAAGCCGTGGTATAGCTGCTGCTTACGTCTGTTCAAGATCAGGGTCCGTGCGTTTTTTTTCTCTTTCTTCAGGTGCCTACTTTTTTGGACATCCGAAGGCTTCGAAGATGGAGGCGATGATTGGCGCACGCAGTCGTCACAATTACGAATGCTGTTCATAGTATCGTACTACGCAGTCGTGATCGAAGTTTCTTGGGCAGGCAACTAGCTGAAGCCGCTGGCCTCCAGCTCCCTCAGCTTCACGAACTGACGGTCCAGCTCCTGATCGAGTATCAAGGTGCAGAGCTGAGGCGGGTTGCAAATGGAGCTCCCGAGTTTTTGCAAGCCAAAGTCTTTCTCATCCTGCAGACATGTCACCTGGACACCGTTTTATCTGCACGCACACTCGGACAAAGCTGACGTGGCTCTGGGCAGATCTCGGAAGGCCATCTTGGTTCCTTGCTGAGACTTTGCTCACCCTCCCACGTTTTGGCACCGTTGTCGTATGCCGTAGGAGAAGCGTCAGTGCAAGTGCCGCAGTTGGATCCCCGGACATGTCGTGGCCTTCTGCATGGCCGCTGAAGTCATGCATGCGACTTGTAAGAGTTTCTGTGCTGAATCGAGAGTCCGGCCTTCAAATGCGGCTGCGTAGTGCAGGACCGATTTGACTGGGGTGTTCTTGTGCCCACTCGGCTTTGTTTGCTGCTGTCCCAGAGTGGTCTAGAAATCCGAGAAAGCCTAACCTACTCTAAATCCTGAGCCCTCTGAGGGTAGCATTGCTATAGGAATTCAGCACCATCCGATGGGGCGACGTGGCGATCCATTCTAGCTGGCAACTGGCAACGCATGCATTAGCAGTTACCAGCTCCCACTGCCCGGATGTCTCAAACAGGAACAAAGTATGCAACATGGACATCTTGCTTAGGTTGAAAGGAGTTACGGTGCTTCTTGGACAGCAGCGTCGGCTCGTACCGAGCCCTTTAAACGACAGCAGGTCCAGAACCGGCTGGCTACGTGATGTAGCACAGCGCAGTTGGAGGAACAGGTTAAAGAGCGCGCAGTGGCAAAAATGTATGCAGGCGGACCCTACGCGCTTTCTGACAGGAGCCGGTGAGAAAGGCTTCGGATTGGGGGGCTCCTCCCAAATGGCTGAAGTCAATTATACATCAAACTGGGTCCCCCAAGCCCGAAGATGCGGCGCCAAGGAAACAAACGGCTCAGCTCTTGGCCCTCTCTGCCCCACTCCTGGCGGTCCTCGGTAGCTTACATCTGCCCCGCCTCTTCTTCCATCACCTTCTTCTCTGAGGCCTTCTCGGGAGGCTGCGACTTGTCCAGCCATGGACCAAGCTGTGAAGGCACGAAGCCCTCGGGACCCATCTCAGCGATTTGCATCTCCTCACAACACAGGAAGCACTGCAAGGTGGTGTCCACAGCAAGCTCGAAGATGCTAGTGAAGAGGCGGCCCACGACGTAGCCCAAGATGATGTAGATAATCATGGGGACAGCCGGGGCCATAGCTGGATGGAGTCCGGAAAGGGTGAAGTATCCCAAAACAGCCGTGCCAGCAGTGATGAACATGATACCGATGACGTGGATCATGCTTCCCAGAATGGCGACAGTTCCAAATCGCAGTGCGTTCCTCAGAATGAGGAAGAAAGCCTTCTTTGCCGAAGTGCAGAAGTTCGTGCCCTTCAGCGCGATCTGGATGTAGGCGTTCTTGTTGAGGAACTTGATGCACTTCTCAAAGCACCAGATGAGGCATTGGAGCACCTTCAGGATCATGACCACAATCCGATTCTTCTGTGCTTTGGCCTGCTGCTCGTAGTACTTGAGCATGTACCTGATGAACTGGACAAGGGCGACGATGAAGGCGCCAAAGGCGACAGAGCCCAGATGGTAGCGGAAGACCATCCAAAGTGATCGGCGGATGGCATTCTTTTTGCCCTTGTTGGTGTTCTTGGTGAAGAACCACACAACCACGGCGCCAGCGATGATGATCTGCCCGATGGCAATGTTCAAGGCATTGTTCCACAAATACACGAAGAAAGACACGGCAAATCGCCAGTCGAATCCATAGCGCGGCTGGGAGCACCGCCAGCAAGCCATGGTCCTGGGCGGTTCAGCAACCGATTAGTTACACGACCTAGTAATGTGAGGACCCAAGCACAGAAACACAAAGACTTGAGCCTGAAGACCCATAAACCCCTAGGCACCCTAAACCCCCATTAAAGAGTCCACTGAAGAACCGAGGGTCCCATTCACGAGCTCACAGCCCTCCTCGTCTTTCCACACGGAGCCGGTCGGCCAGGTACCGGTGCACTGTCCTTCGTTCTCTAGTGTCCTAGAAAAAAGCTTAAGAAGAGAAGCTGCTGGGGTTGTGGTACACCGAAAAGGTTTCTCACTCTACGACGAAGTGTCCGGGCGTGTCGGAGGTGCCGTAGGCTTCGGCGTAGGTTGCAAAGACGGTCTTGGGCACGTAGTCATCAGGAACCTGGCTCAGCAGAAAGGCTGCCGAGAGGCCCCAGATCAAAGTCCAGAGCCCAGCGACCAAGGCCTGCACAGCAGGCAAGACCAGGATGGTGGGTGTGTGCACCACGAAGACGGAAGCCACCTTGTTCACTGCAATGGCCAAGCGAATCCTGTTTGTCAGGCAGCAGACCACAATGCAGTAAATGAAAGCGAGGACCCAGAGGATGTAGGCAAGAATCTCGAGGACGATCCGCAGCTCATCGCTGTTGATGTCATAGCCTCCGTCGCAAACCGGTCGGATCTGCCCAATAGGGTTGCACTCCTGCCAGTTGTAGTCTGGGTCTTGGGTAAAGCACCAGATGGTCTTTGCCTTGTAGCGGTCGGAGTCCTGGAATGGATTTCGGCAGTAGTTCGAGACCAAGTTCGAGTCGGGGTAGTTGGCCGCCGTGTAGAGGGGGCCCCGGGAGTCCGGGATCGCGGCATCACCCCACTCGTAGCACAGCTTGCCGAGCTTGCTGTAGCGCTGCACACCTGTGTAGTTCGAGCCATACAAGCCCGAGAGCTCCTCGGAAGCCGGCGTTGTTTGGCTGATGGCGTTCCTGGGCTTTGAAGTAACCAGGGAGAAAAAAGTATAGACTTTTATTTTATAATGGTTCCTTTAAGGAACAGGTCTCAAAAAAAGTATTCAAGTATGGTACTCCAAAGCCCAGGTTCTCAATGACCACCGCGGCCGTGGTAACGGCACCGACGAACATGGTCTGGCCGGTCTCGAAGATCCCAACTCCGGAGCACTGCGAGGACTTGATGAAGGAGAAGGCACCACCAAGGCAGAGGACTATGAAGAAGAGGAAGACGGAGAGCCAGACGCAGACGCCGACAAGGAAGCGCAGTGCTACCATGTAGATGAAGCCCACGAGGAAGGAGGCGAGAAGCGTGATGAGGAAGGCATCGATCGAGGTCTGGAAATCACCGACCCAGGTTCCGACAGTGTCTGAGAGGCTGGACGCAAGGTCTGCAATGCCCAATGCTTCCATGGTGTCTGTCATGGCGGATCCCAGGGCGTTGACGACGTCCGCAGTCATTTCGAAGGTGCAGTAGGATGAACCCTCCGTAAGTTCTGTGAAGCCCACACCGGGCATGGGCACACATCGTTTGGCCGGATAGGGGCAGACATCCAGGGGTAAGGCTTCAAACTTGAAGTCGTTGCTGATGACGCTCTGGATGGAAAGGATCTCAGCCCTACTGCCGGAGTAGCCCTTCAAAGTGTCGAAGGCGAGTTTGAGCGGATTGTCAGGGGTCATGTCGTAGACATACTCACGGGCAGTCGCGCTGCCGTTCACCAAACTGAAATCAGCAGCACATCCGGTCAAGCAGACTTCGTTGAAGTAGAGGGAGGCTTCGTTGAAGATGTCCTCAAAAGCCTGGCCGTTGGCACCGGTGGGTGAAAACAGATTGTCTGCACTGACCTTTCCACGAAGCTCAGCCAACTTGGATGTGATCACCGTAGAGATGTCCGCAGGATTCGTCAAATCTCCTCCCACGTTGAGGCTACCTTCACAGGCTCCGCAAGGGATGAGGCAGCAGCCGCAGAGATAGTCCTCCGCCTCGAAGCCGGTCAGCAAGGGGCCCTGCGTGGGGGTGCCCGAGTAGCCGTCGACCATGGCCGTCCTAAAAGCGCTGGAACACATCATCTGCTTGACGATGACATCCGTCACGGAGCTCACGTTCATGGTGAAGCTCTGCTTGGGGAAGCCTTTCAAGTTTGGGCCATTGTTCCAGTTGCTCTCCACATCACAGTAGGCACCCATGAAGTCGCGGGGCTGGTAGAGCCTTGCAGGGTCCCCGTCGGTCATGCCCATGATCGTCACCACGACGTAGGCGACCCAAGCAGCCACCAGCACGATGAGGCACCAAGCGTCGGTGCAACCTCGGTTCGGCGTCGGTCCGAAATCCTGGTCCTCCTCTTGCTCGAAATCGCTCTTGTCGGTCACCTTTTCCTCCTCCTCATCCTTCTCAACCTCCCCGCAGCAGCAAGACATCGTCTATGCGAGCTGTGAAAGGCGGACGAGTCAGGGAGCAGTGGGCGACTCACAACAGCGCACTTGAGCAAATGCTTCAGATTCAGGGTCAAGCGTCACAGCAGCTCCGGCCAGAAACCCCCCAAGTCCCTCGACCTTGATCCTGCCTCCGGCTTGGAAACCCCGGGATTTTTTGGAACCTCGCTTCTAGCATCCTGACACATCTGGCATGGAAGGTCAATCTAACCCGAACATCATTGCCATCGAAAAGGACGTTGCAGCCGGGTCTCTACAGTGAGCTCCCGCACAAGTTCACGCCAGCGCTCCGGCATTGCAGGGAAAGCTGGCTATGATAGCAAATGAATTTCCAAACAGATATCTGACAGTACACTTTCTTTCTACAGACCCTAAACCTTTAAATCTCGAAGCCCGACAACCCTAAACACTCTCTTGTCTACATCTCGTGGACCGACTGTGAGGCGTGTCTCAGGCAACTCCGGCGAGACTAGTTTGTGAAGGGCAGAAAGGGGGGGTGGCTCTGGGACTTTAACTTAAATGCTTCTGTAGAAGAATGCGAGGTTGCATGTCGAGAAAGCCGTGTTGGGATGCTGTACCAAGTTCCGGGGCATGCTGATGAGTTATTGCCTCGATGTCCCTGAAGCCTCGACCAGCTGCGGTGCATGCCCTGCATGTGCGTGGTACCGAACTTGAGGCCAGTCAAAGATGAGCATGCGGCGACACACAAATTTGTCGCTGGGGCTTCGAGCATCCGACCATGGAGCTCTTAGCAAGTGTGCCGCTTGCATCGTCCTACTGCAAGTGGCCTCTTGCTGCTACGACCTGATCTACCACCCGATGACAAAAGCTTCCGATACCATGCTGTGCCAATCATGACCCATGAGGAGTCCCTACTGAAGCCCACGGTGATCTTTAAAGCCGAGACACCTGCGCATACCCTGCAAAATAGGCCCTAAAGAGCCCGAAACCCTGCAATCCAAACACCCACCTTGCAGAGCACATTGCTCGGCATCTTCGAAGATGAAGCGGCTGAAGGCCACACGAGCTTCGACCGTTTTCATTTTCCAGCCTTGGCCCAAAGATATGAACAATGGTGGTTCTGGACGTGGGCCAGGATGACAGCAAGATCACTGATGCTCATCGCAACGAGACTGCAAAAGCCTGGTAATAGTTAGTAAAGCTGCGGTGGTTTTAGTCACAAACATCAAGTTATAAAGCGTGTCCACGGCCTTCAGAAGCATGCATCGTACTACAAAGGTTTGTACTAGCTAGGATAGTAACACCAGAGTAGGACAAATGCTGAAAGCCTCGGCTTACTCTTGGGTTCGCCCGGCAAACTCTACAAATCCGTCCAATGTCTCTCTTAACCCTAAACCCTAAACCCTAAACCGCGAGGCAGGCATGGCTTCCGGGGTCTGAGCTTTTGGGGCAAGGGTGCTTAGGTTTAAAGTAAACCCCAAAAAGTTGGAAACCGGATTAAGAACAAGTAGTGCCGTGATACCCTATACATTACTCGTAGGGATTGAGGATATTGGGTTTCCAACTTTTCGGCTTCTACTATAGGGCCATCTGGGGGATTGGGAGCCGGAGAAATCGCAGATGTCTTGGCAATGCAAGTAATGTAGGAGCCTGAATAATCACAAATTTTATGGCCCGCAAAACGCTTGTCTAATTATTCAGGGAGTTGTAGTGTTTTTGTGTGGTTGACCAGCCCTGTAGTTAGGATCCTATACCCAGACCCCCAAAAAGGATCCAACAAAAAGACCCCCTAATTAGGGACCCTAACTACTAAAGGGTACTTCATAGGAACCCCCTTAGGGGATCTATTTTTTAGATCCTTTTTGGGGGTCTGGGTATATAACATAGAACGCAACAAGGCGGGCCATCCAAGGAACTCAGTTGGAGATTGCAGGTAGCTCTTTCTTGATTCTCAGGCTCTTGATTTTCAGACTACCCTTTTTCATCATGGGCTGGGATTGTGTGCCAGCGAACACACCTCAACAGCAGGGCCTTTTCAGACTACCCTAAACAGGAAACGGTCGTGTACAGTGCACAAATTACGGAAACTGCATCCAACTGGCAGCTTGCTCCTCCTAGGCGCTCTTCCACTGCGGGCCTGCGCAGCTTCGTATTGTGGCTTCGTGGGGTGATGGCCGTAAGTCGGAGATTTTTTAAGATTATGGAGTAAGGTGCCCCTATGGGGATTTGTAAGATTATGGATTAAGGTGCCCCTTCGGGGTATTTCTCATGAAGAGGCCCTAAAGAAGGTTTCCTCAGGGTTGTGAAGCTCCTCCAAGCTCAAGGGAACATGCCAAGAATCTGAGTTTAGGATTGAGGGTTTATGGGTTTAAGGGGTTTAGGGTTTAGGGGTTTAGGGGGTCTTGAGGCCCTTAACCCTAAACCTTCACCCTTACTCGGCAGAAGAGACTCATCGCTGGGCATCGAAAGCCTTGCCTCCACCATATCTTAAGCCGCTGCTGCTGAAGCTAACTACCCCACACCCCACATCCTAAACCCCAAAAAACTTAGCTAAGAAGTTTGTCGTCGACCCCAGCGCGAGTTCCATATGGCGCGCACCTGCAAGCGTAGACCAGGAGATGGTTGTCCTCAGCGAGGGTTCCGATATAACAGAGAAGTAAGGATCGCAACAGTAATAGCAACTCTCATAACAAAATAACATTCATGCTAATCACCAATAATCCCAATGAGAAGACAAATAATCTTACATAGAGATAGTAGTAACAATGAGAATAGCAGCAACCAGAATCATCGTACAATCACTGCAGTCGTATAACCTGTCCGCCAAGTGGGCTCGGTCGGAGTTTTCCTGTCGTTTTCCCCCAAGCCTCCCCCTTCCGAGATATGTAGTGGCTTCGCCATGGCTACGGCCGACGTTAAACCAGGTTTAGGGTTCAGGGCTCGGGGGAGTTTGCAAATCCTGGCACTCCTGCAGATCAGCTTACGGCAATCGCTTACCTCAAAACGAAATTTAAAAAAAGGAAAAGATTTTATTTTAAACATTATTAAAATATAGATTCGATGTCACATTTTAACTGGTGGCCCAGGTGTCGTGCTAAGACGCCAAGACCTTCTACTACAACTGTGGAATGAACGCGTCAAGCTGAGAGGAGTAACTGCGGGGTGCTGGTGATGGATGTAGTCATGAGGTTAATTAGGACCGTTAGGACCTTAGTGTTCCATGGTCTCCATCCATCCACCACTGCATGCCAATAGATGAACCTCCCACTAGCATGGATCTGCCTTCGCTTTTGAACCTCCCTTTCTGCGCTGCGGGGCAATCTCAGTGGACTGCGAAGTGCGAAGGCCTCTTTCGCTATCCCATTCTACAACGTAAGCACTCAAGATCGGAATTAAAGTTCCCTTCAGACGGCTGCCTTTCTGCCAGGGGTCCATTGCTCGCAGGGCGAGGAAGATGCCCTCCACGTGGTGGCGCTCACGCTCCTAACGCCATCTAAGGTCAGCTGGTGCAAGCGATACATGATGCTACTACGATCATCGGACGAATAAACTGTTGTTCTTCATGCTGCTCATGATGATGATGATGATGATGGTGATGATGGTTCCTATCTTTATACCTACCTGTACCTACAGACCTATCTACGTACATGCCAACATACCTACACGCATTCAACCATATATTGTGTTACATATGTGCCTTACGTTGCACTGCCTTTATCTTACATTATTCATTCATTCACTCATCTAGTCCCTCACTCACTCATTCATTCACTCACTCATTGATTCGTTGATTGATTGGTTCGTTGTTGCATGCGATCAATTATGCATTCATTCATTCATTCACTCAGTCAGTCAGTCAGTCAGTCAGTCACCTCCGCCACTCCAAGCATGCATCCCTCCATCCGCTCATTCCGTTCATTCGCTTCAGTCCCTCATTTCATTCATCCAGTCATTGAATAACAGCAGCAGTAGGAAGGAGGAGCGATAGGCATGTCTCAGTGTCTTCGCTCTTTCTGTCTTCCTTCCCTGCATGCATTCATTAGTTAATGCATTCGTTCATTCACTTCATTCTATTCATTTCATTCATGTCATTCACTTCGTACTTTCGTTCATTCATTCAGTCTTTCATTCTTTCATTCATTCATTCATTCATTCATTCATCATTATTCACATGTCATTTCGTTTAACTTGTTTGTTCATTCATTCTTTCTTTCATTCAACTCAATCGTGCAGTCGTGCATACATTCAACTATTCAGTCATGAGCGTCATCAATTTCATTCATTACTTCATTTTTCATTCTTGACTTCACTTCATGTCATTCCGTTTAAGATCTTTCATTTGTGCATTCGTGCCTTCTTTCATTCATTCATTCATTCGTTGATTCGTTCGTTCATTCAGTCATTTCATTCAGTCACTCATTCGCTCATTTCGTTCATTCTTGCACTCGTTCCGTCTTTCAACCGTTCATTTCATTCATGTCATGTGCTCATGCGTTCGCTCATTCATTCATTGGCTCAGTCATTTGGCCCCAGTCGTTCATGCATTCATTTATTCAACCATGATTCCATGCGTGACTCCATTCATCCGTTCATGCATTCACTCATTTCAGTACTTCATCCACTCCATTCGTCCATTCATTAATTCATCCCTTCATTCATTTTATATCATTTCATTTCATTTCATGTCATTTCATGTCATTCATTCCTTTCATTTCATTCAATAATTCATTCATTCAGTCATTTCTTTCATTAATTCATTCATTCATTCATTCATTCATTCATTCATTCATTCAGCCATTCATGTTTTCATTCATTCATTCATTCATTCATTCATTCATTCATTCATTCATTCATTCATTCATTCATTCATTATTTCAATCATTCTTTCATGCAGTTCATTCATTCATTCATTTCAAATTGTTCATTCATTCATTGATTCATCCATGTATGTAAATTCATGCATGCATTCATTCGTTCGTTTCATTTCATTTCATTTCATTTCATTTCATTTCATTTCATTTCATTTCATTTCATTTCATTTCATGTCATGTCATGTCATGTCATGTCATGTCATGTCATGTCATGTCATGTCATTTCATTCATTCATTCATTCATTCATTCATGAACTCATTCATTCCACTCAGTCATTGATTCATTCATGAATTCACGAAGTCATTCATTAATTCATTCGTTCCTTTCCGTTCTTTCATGCATTAATTCATCCATTCACTGATTCATCCATGAATTTCATTCATTCATTCGTTCATTCATTCGTTCATTCATTCATTTCGTTTCCATTCATTCATGCATTCTTTCATTCCACCCTATAACAACATGCAGTTAAATCTAATTCGCTCATTCGTTCTTTCATTCACTCATTCATTCGTTCGCTCTTTCATTCGCTCATACATTAATTCATTAATCCATTCATTCATTCGTGCTTTCGTTCTTTCATTCAATCATTCGTTCAGTTCATTCATTCATTCATTCCTTCCTTCCTTCATTCAGTCATTCGATTCATTCGTGCATTCATCCATTCGTTCATTTCATGTCATTCATTTCTCAATGCATTTATTCTTGCATTTCATAATTTTATTAATTGCGTTCTTGCTTGCATTCATTCTTTCTGCTCATCATTCGGTTCAGTCATTTCGTTCGCTGACTCCTTCAGTGATTCGTTCGTTCGTTCATTCATTTCTTCATTCAGTCACTCAGTCATTCAGGTCATTCTTTGATTCATTCGTTCATTTATTCATTCAATGTAATTCCTTCATTTTCAATTTCGTTTGTTCGTGCATTCAATGAATTCGTTCATGCATTCGCTCTTTCATGTCATTCATTCATTGGGTTCACTGTTGCATTCGTGCTTTCTTTCACTTCATGTCATTCAACTCATTCGCTCATTCGCTCGTTCAGTCATTCCTTTGATCATTCAGCCAGTCTGGTCATTCATTCCTTTCGTTCATTCATTCGTTTCATCTCATTCGTTCATTCGTCCAATCGTGCAGTCATTCACGCATTAATTAATTCAGTCTTTCTTTCATTTCATCCAATTCATCTGCTAATTCGTTCGTTTATTCATTCCTTTATTTGTTCAGTCATTCAGTCTTTCAGGTCAAGAATGAATTCACTCATTCGTGCATTAATTCATTCTACTCGACCAACCAATCACTTATTCAACATGTTGTCCCTTTTCAGTTCGTTTCATGCCGTTGGTGCATTCGTTCATTTATTAAAGACTCCGTCAAGCTATCCATCCTGCGTTCATTTTATTCGTTTCACCTCTACCTTCATTCAATCATTCATGAGTTTATTCTGTCACTCATTCTTTCATTCATTCACAACTACCTGCCTGTCTGCCGCCTGCATGCCAGCCTGCCTGCGTGCCTAGATCGTACATAACCCATACATACATACATACATACATACATACGTACCTACGTACATACACAGATACACACACAACATACCTAGCTCCGTCCCGACCTACTTGCATACATATTATGGGGGATCCTTTATGGGATCCACGCTTCGACAATCGCTCAGGTACTCCCAATCCCGGTCCTCGGGTGTCCTGGCATTCCTGTAGGCCCTGCGCGCTGAAGGGACGCAAAGGTCAGCTTCTCGATTTATCTATAGGAAAGCATAAGTTTAGTTAGGATAGTAGAGGAAAACCTAGTATAGTACAGTATAGAAATTTGTCTTGCACGGTATAGTGTAGAATTGTATAGAACCCCAAAGGCCAAGCGAAATTGGTCAGTCTCACAAGAACCCAAACTCACGTAGACGAGTCCACAACCCTTCCGACAAGATACGAACCACGCACAACCCCAGGCCCCCTCAACCCCCTATACATAGGGTTTAGGGTTTAGGGTTTAGGGTTTAGGGTTACGTGGAGGATCATGGGACTTATTAAGTAAGGTTATAAGTCCCCTAATTGGGGTTATAAGTATAGTTACCTTAATTATAACCCTACTTACTGTAAGTCCCATGATCCTCTAAGTAACCTCGGAATTTCCTGGTGCAGAGAGCCTCCAACAGGACATGACTAACATCAGCTGCACCAAGATCTGCATCACGCCAACCTGGTTGCGCAGAACTTTGTGCGAACGCGACTGCGAGGAGTCTGAAGAGAAGGTAGAGCATAGAAGATTGAACAAAGTCGCAGTGGAACAGAGTTAGAAAGAGACAGAGAAGAGGAAGGAAAGCGCGAGGGGGAAAACAAACAACTAGACGCACATAAAGAAACAGGTATATATATATATATATACATACATACATATATTTATACATGTGTAGGCATATTGTGTATGTATGTTTACGTATGTATGTATGTATGTATGTATGTCTATACATATAGAGAAAGAGGTGCATCAGACTTCATCGCCTGACCTAGCTTGGACACTGGTAAGATTGGCCAAACGAAGGATGGTAGATTGAGGGCAGGACGCAGTCATAAAGCCCTATCCCTGGGACTCACTGTTGAGCAGCTTGCTGTTGCCTGCCTTGGGACCTCTACGTGGCAGGTTCTGCATTCCTCGAGGCAACAGGTGTATGTGTGTGTGTAGTTGTTCATTTACATATATATATATATATATCACTGTAAATGCATATTTAAAGACACATATTATATCGAACCATGCCAAGATTTATGTGCACATCGAATCCCCTGCCTTCTCGAGTATGAGCCAACGCAGCAGAAGCCGTCTAGTTTGGTTCATGCTGATGAAGTAGAGACATGGGAGGAGAAGACTGATGCATAGACTGAAAATCTTTCCGCGCATACGCTACCCCGACATTGTACTGCGTTATCTTCTCTCGTGATGTGCCAGCTTGGAATGTACTATATTAGGTTGGATTAACTAGATTAGATTAGGTTAGATTACATAGAAGTAGCTTACAGTAGGTTAGACTATGAGAAAATCTGCTGCAACATGATGCTGTACTGTACATGCAGTACTGTTCTACACAATACTTTCATTCTTTCTATGCCATAGTATACTATGCTACGTGCTGCAAAGTGCTGTGCTATACTATGCCATGCTTTGTTAATGCCACTGTGCTGTGTTATGCTGTGCTGCACCACATTGTACTATGCTGCACATATATATTTGCTGGACGAATACACCGCGCTTTACCGTACCATATCCTGCAAATTCCATCCTATCCTGTCCCATCCTATACGTTTCTGTGCTTTGCTAAACTAACTTCTCGAATCTGTTTGTAAAAAGTTATGCATATGTACATACCTAGATACACCTGAGCAAAGTTGCTTGGTTATTCGCTCTGTCCGACACACATACGCGCACGGTGGATACGCATGTATTTAGAAGAATGCCAGAGTATACTTGCCCGTTTAGATTTCAAGTACCATACTCGCACACGTTGGCAACGAAGTAACCCAGTTGCAAGCATTCACGTGCGAACAACTGGACACACAAACATATATGTATGTATCACACCCATAATACAATCAATGTACTACATTGTATATATATATATATATATACACACATGCTCTTTCTTATATGAGCACTTCACATAGTTTCATATATATATATATATATATTTACGTGTGTGTGCGTGTATGCATGTATGGGTACATGTTCGCATACACGTATTTGCATGCATGCGGGTAAGTATGTGTATTACATGCATATATGCATATATATATATATACATATGTTTATACATGTACATTTACATATACATATAAGATAAATATGCATATCATATACATATACATACATAACCATACATACATACATACATACATACATACATACATACATACATACGTACATACATGACATACATATTCGAAAAGGAAGAGCAACAGACTTCAGCAGAGGCCGCTTCTTTGAGACCCGGACCCCGAGGAAAACGAGCCAGGCCGAGACGAACCACAGGTCGAACCCACACCTCTCTTTTCATGGGGTTTGTAGGGCTAGAATTTAGGGCTCTAGTAGGCTTATAGTAGGCTCATAGTCGGGCACTCCTCTTTTCATGGGGTTTGTAGGGCTGTAACTTAGGGCTCTAGTAGGCGTAGAGTAGGCTCATAGTCGGGCTATAGTAGGCTTATAGTAGGGTTATGGTAGGGTTGTAGTAGGGTTACAAGTAGGGTTCTAGTAGGGTCATGGTCGAACGGGGTTCAGGGTTCTTGGATTTGGGGTTGACGAATTGCTTTAGTTTGGTCTTGGCTTTTGAAGTTCAGGGTTTGTTGCCGGTGGGGGGGTTGGGTTTCGTATTTCGTTGCCAAGACTTCTCTGCAAACCCTGGGAAACTAGCAACATCAGCATGCACCCACCTTCAAACTTTGCAGGTTTAGCACCAGGATCTGAAAAGGCTTGACGAGTGACTTTCAGTTGTAGGCTAAAACTGGCTCAAGCACGATGTCCGGCGTAAAAGACACCAACATGTGCTCGCACTGTGGCGGGAACCCGAATCGCCCAAGTGGTGGAACTACAATGCATGCGGTGTCCCGGCCCGTTCAGGACCATGGCAAGAACGAGTCTTGGATTAAAAGGCGCTCCGTGCCACAGCAGAAGCCACAAAACCCGGTGGGCTTGCCCACTGCTTCAGCCTTGTGCCATCACCAGGCGAGTCCGATTACGTGTGAACGTAAGAATCAACAAGTGTGACGACGCCGGTCGAAAAATTCACTTACGTGAATGACAGCTACGTTTGCATGGTATGTCTGCTCGCTTGGAAATGGCACTGAGTAGTTAGTGATTCTCCCGCGCCTGCCGCGTCGAGTTTAGTGGAGATGACGACTCTGAGACCCCTGAACAAAACTTTCTCCAACGGCGACACCGCGTCCTGTCACGCGAAGCAGTCCACCAAAAGGAAATATTTTAAGATTACTGAAACATCT